ACTGGCTGAGCGCGGTGCGGGTGACACCAAGCCAAGGGTTGCGATCCCCTTACCGGTCACAGAAAAAGACAAAAAAATAAAATTAAATAAAAAAATAAATAAAGTTGGCCATGGTGACAACTGCACAGCTCTGGCCTAGGCTAAAACCATAGTCGCACACTTCAAGTGGCTGAGTTTTACAGTGCATGGCTTACATCTCAATAAAGCTGTTGTTTAAAAAATATCCTGGCAAACCCATTTGTGTCCTTATCTTACAAAACAGTATCTCTGCCTGCAGGTTGGCTGCTGTCTCACCTATAAGGTCTCGAGCCATCTCCTGATCCTCCTGAAACCGGCAGGCATCACTGAGCTGTAGGAGCGAATCGACGTGGTAGGGGCTCGTCTGGAGCAGAACCTACCAGAAAGGAGGACAGCCCTGGAGGATGCCCAGGAAGGCAGCAGGCCTCAGGCAGGCCTTACTTTCCAAGCATTTAAACCTGGGGGAAATTATCAGCAGGGGTGACGGTCACAATACCTCCCCAACTCACAACATGCTGGCGACTGCTGCTCAGCTGAGCTGCTGACCTGATCTACGATGGGCACCAGAACTCGCATACACAGGCTGGTGCATCTCAACTCTCCCTGTGCCCGAGAAAGAGGAACGGAAAACAAGCGCCCTCTTTCCCATGTGGGAAGACAGCAGCGAGCTCTCAAGAGTCACTTGCCCTGGACTGTGGCCTGAGTGCGTGTGTGCACAGGGCCTGGCAGCCAGAGGATGAGCTCTCTGGGGTCCTGCAGTGATCAAAGACCTGACCGTGGCCTGAGGATGGAGCTGGGTGGGGTCTTGGAACCCTAGGGAAGCCTGGCCACCAGGCCTGGGAGGTTTTTAAGGACAGGACACAGGGGACAGGACAGGCTGCCCTGTCCTGCGCCAGCCTAGCAGACGGCCAGGGAGGCCCCCAAGAAGGTCCTCATGGGTGCTAAACATGCCTCCCTCTGGTCATGGGTCTGACCACTCTGCACAGAGAGGCATCCCTCCTGCAGGGGAAAGCAACTGCCTGGCCCAGCAGGGGCTGCAGGGACCACTCACCACGATGTTGTTGGGCTCCATAGACTCCACAGCCACCAAGAACTTATGCTGTGCCTGCTGGTACTCCTCGTTGTGTTCAAACGTGAAGAAGGACAGGCCTTTCTTTGACTCCAGCAGCCGCATGAACAGACCTGGGAGGTGAGAGCACTCAGGGAGGCGTGCGCAGCACGGCACGGCATCACCACCCAGGTTGTTCTTGACAAGGCCTCTGTGATATCGACACACTGGACCTGACAGCATCCTCAGGCAAGTCACCAGACCTGGGCTGGGCTCCTCTAGGCCACAGCTGGCATGCTTGGGGCCTGCTTTCCACCACTCTGCCTGCACCAGAAGCTGCTGGCATCCTGTCTGCTTTGGTTCCTATAAAGACATGCTTCCCCACAGAACTCGGATCTGGCCCAGAGTGTAGGATGGAACGTGAAATGTCAGGAACAGGGACAGGCACAGCCTACAGGGTCACCAGACCTGGCCAAGCCGAACACTGTACCCAGATCCAGTCTGGTTAGGACAAATATCCAGGGTGGCCGTGCAGGGGTGGGAGACAGCGCCAGGCCTGTGAGGTGGTGGCATTGACAACCCATGGCCAGCCACCCTTCCTCTCTGCTCTTCATGTCTGACTTTGGGGGTGTGGGGCCTAGTTTCTTCTGACATGCCTGAAACAGATCAGTGGTTCTTGGTCCCCCTTAGCCACACCCTTCTGATGGCCCTACCCTACAGGAGCATGTGGCCTCTTGGGGGTTTCTGCCAGGAAGGTAAGGGGCCTAGGGTATAAGGCACAGACTTCAGCTCCTAAAAGCAAAGGCCTCAAGCTCTAGGCATGTCTCCACTGGGAGTATATGGGGAATCTTCCAGAATCTCCACAGATACAGGAGCAGGAGAGGTGTGGGTAGGGCTATGACAGTACTGATGGCAGAGGGCACTGCCCCCCACGGTTTTCATCCACACAACCCCACAGCTCCCTTCCCATGGTGGGCATCCCTGACCCGTCCCTCTGAGGGCCCCTTGGGCCCCGCATACCAGCCTCTATGCCATGTGACAAGCACCCTGACAGGACCTTTCTGTATTGCTATTTTTCTTTCTTTCTTTTTTTTTTTTGAGACCGGCCGCACTGCGCTCAGCCAGTGAGCACTGTGAGCGCACCGGTCATCCCCATATAGGATCCAAACCCGCGGCAGGAGTGCTGCTGCGCTCCCAGCACCGCACTCTCCCGAGTGTGCCACGGGCTCGGCCCGCTATTTTTCTTTAAATTATACGTACTTACTAGTTTGCAATAAAATATAAAATATCATACTTTAAAAATAAACTTGATCACTTTCTATGGTGCAGTATCCCTGGGAAAAAAGACAGTAGAAAGCAGACAGCAGCTGCACTGAAACAGTACAGGACACACACACGGTCGTGTCTGGGAAGGTTCTGTGCCCAGGGACACTGAATCTCTGTCCTCTAGCACGAGGCTGTGCTCTCAAGCCCTCTGTTTGGTAAAAAACATGACCATGTATGCGCTGCATGCTGGCTTCACACAATGGAGGAGAGGCCTGGCTAGGTAGCACTGACACACACAGCGCCTGGCGTTGGCCTCTGCACAGACCCTGCAGCCTCTACAGACCCTCACCTGGTTTGCTGTAGCGAGGCCAGGTGCTCTTAGGGGCTGTAAGCCATGTGCACTTGGGGTACACGCGCTGTCTCTGCCGTGGCCTGGGGAGAACAGGACACAGATGCAGCTTTACCTTTGGTGGTGCGCGGAGACCTGGGCTGGCAGCCTCGTCTCAACAGGACTGTGGAAGCAGAACCCTAGGGCAGGGAAGGCACGTGGGGAGGGCGCGGCAAGGACGGAATGAAATGGTGGTAACAACAGGAGTCACCACTGCTGCCAGAGCTGGAGGCAGGAGCGCTGACTCACCAAACAGCCAGAGAAGTGACAGAAAACCCAACCAGTCCATCAAAAAGGCAGGAAAGGTAAAAAGGGAAACAAAAATCAAAACCTAAAACAAAGGTGACCAAAATAAGACTGAGCCCTGACTGGAGAAGGATCTTCATCTCCTCCTCTCTCCTGAGACCCCACCAATGCGACAGCAAGTTTTGAAAAGGGGAAAGTGACAGCAACAAAGAGAGCTCATTCTGGGCCAGCAGGCAGAGGGAGGCCAGCTCCTCCAGACCCAGCATGGGCTGCAGCACCCCCAGGCCATGTGCTCCAGGCTCTGTTACTTGGGGGTCTCTGGCACAGGAGCCCTGGTCAGGTGATGTCTGGGGGCAGGGGGTGGGCTGCACTGAGGACAAGGCTTCCTGTACATCAGCGACAGTATATGTTTCTTAAGCTGAGTGGTGGGCGTGTGGATGCTTGCATATTACTCTCTATATTTTTTGATAATCTGAGCTATTTCATTAAAACAACAAAATAATGAGTAAGAAGCTACACTGTTAGTAACAGGATAAAAAAGCATTTCTTCTCCCAAAAAGAAAGTCAAAAACTGTAGGAGAAAAAACAGCTGTACAAGAAAAGCATGACCAAGTCTAAAGGAAATTAAAATGTGGCATAATTTGGGGTAATTAGTAGGGTGTAAAAAGAATTCATTGCATGTGCAGAACTGCCACGAGTCTCTGGAATTCCCAGCAAGGCGGCCTTGACAGGAGCTGCGGGGGAAGGGGGAGGAACACAGGGAGGGGGTTCTGCCCAAAGGTTGCAGTCCCACGGAGCAGAGGTCACTGCAGGGATCAATGAGCTGACCTGGTCTGTCAAAATAGGAAGTGAAGGACTAGAGAAAGAGAAGCACACACGTTATCTGGAGATTTTGAGACCAAGAGACCAGAAACAGAAACACGGCAAGCCTTTGTCTCTGGGGATCAGGACGAAGAATGGTGTACAGGGGTAAGGAAGGAACCGTGGCTTCTCTGTGGAAGTCTTTTTAAAGAAATAAATGTAATAAAAAGCATAATAATATTATAAAATCAATAAACGCAGTTGTTATTAACTAATTACTATTAACAACTATAATTTGCAAAAATAAACAACACACAAAAACGTGAAGAAACGGCGAAGACCAAGCAGATGAAGACAAAAAGAAGCTGGGGAGGGCAGGGGCAGAGTGGCCGGCCCAGGGCAGTGCAGGCGAC